CCTTGGGTTTGCAAGTTACAAACGCTGAGGAGGGAGCCTTCAGTCCTGCCGCCAGGACATCTTTCTCCCGGCACAGTAAATGGCTTTTAAGAAAGCAACCGAGTTTATGACGTTAAGGTTCTAGAAATGGTAAGACTTGCAAGGGCTGCAACGCAGAAACCTTCATACTTAGTTGATCAGACACTCATTTTCTTAGATAGGATGGGGGCAAGAATTCTTGGTGTCCCTCAAACTTAATCAGATCAAAGGTTGAATCCTGTTGCATCCTGACAACAGGGTGTTTGAGGTATGTTACAAGTACTCGGGGAACACTACCACCAGCTTCTGCAAACACACACACACACACTCACACACACACAACTCTCCTAGGACAGTTACCATTTCAGCCTCAAATTCATCCAACTGTGAGGAAGTATTCTGTTTGAATAATAGCAATGATACTCTGTCCAACCCTATGCCCTATAGGAAACTTTTGGCATTGGATTCAAACACTGAAAAGAAGGGGAAAAAACCAGGCTGTCGAGGTTCGGTGTCCAGGACAAGAAAGGAGACTTGCTTGAGCATCCCAGCCTTCATTTCTCCCCTTTGGAAGCCCTCAGACACGCCCTGCGCCCCATTACTGAAACGACCCAGACGTGCAGGAACACACCAATCACACTTGCGTGAGAGGCTACTGTATCACGTTCTCTAATGGAGATGTGACATTTTAGGTTGGGAATAGAAGTCATCTACCAGCATGCCCATTAAAGGCAGTATGGAATGATGTTTCTATCTGTTGGGTCCTTTCGAGGTAAGCGGGTGTCTTGAGCAGGAAAATTTGGATCGAGGATACTGTTTTTCTTCTTTTTCCTCCTATTTTTTTGAAGCATCCCAGTGTGCACGTATGTTAGAGCCAGCCCGTACATAAACTGGTAGGAGTAAAGCACACATACCCTCCACACCGTCAACGCATATGCTCAGTTTGACATTTAAAAGGGAAGAGGGCAGGGAAGGAGGAGGGAGAGAAGAGGGAAGAAGGGAAGCTGAGAGGGAAAAGATTCAGACTCTGGAAGGAATCGCCCCCAAGCTTATGTCCATTGCACCCAGCGCTCCGATATACCTTTTGCACACGCCACACGCGGGAACTAACGGCGGGAAAAGTTTCCTTGAGCCTTAGTACTCGTCTCACTCCCCGAGTCGAAGTCGGGGTAACCCGCTGGGCAAACGGGGAAGCGCCCCCACCCCTCGCCTGTGCGGCCCGAGGCTCGCGGCTCGCAGCCCGCCTTGGGGCGCAGGAGCTGATGGTTGAAATAGAAGCGCGCGACGCTGGGCGGGCGGGCGAGCTCGGGCCCGCAGCCCGGCTCCGTGAGCGGCGGACCGGGGCCGGCAGGTCCCCTACGGTCGGGGCGACGTACCAGCCAGGCTCCTGGCCAACCTCTCCCGCCGGAGCTGCGTCGCTCTCCCGCGTCTCGCGCCGCCCTGGAGCGAGGCGTGAGGCCGGAGGCCCCTATCTGCTGCGACTCCCGGTTTGCTTTCTGATAGTGGAGAAGCGATCCGTCAGCCCGGAGACGACCAGTCGCCTAGAGATTGGGCTCCATCTGCGAAGAAACCAGGGGCCAAACCTGGGGGTCAGTCCCTTCCCCCCGCCCTGCTGCCAACACAACCCGAGTCACTTAAAAGTTACCCCGAATTCGCACCAGTCTTCCAACCCACCCCATCCCTGCAGGCTGCGTGTACTCGTGTATCGGAAGGGTGATCTGTGGGTTCTCACTCAAACTCGCAGTAATCACCTGTGCATCTGGTTCTGGGTTAAACACACTTCGCCTTGATATTTCCTCCGTGTTATTCCGTCCCCCCTCCCCCTGTTCTTAAAGCCATAGGTGGGGGGTCCCAGAGGAGACTGCATTTAAAGTAATTTAAACCCTTGCAAACAACTGTCATCAGGTCCTACACAAACCAATTCTAGCAATTTCCACCAGGTCCAGTTGAGAAACGCACCGTGGGCGTGGGTTTCAGGCGAAGATGCTGGAGATCTTGCCCGGACTCTCTCTCTCTCTCTCTCTCTCTCTCTCTCACACACACACACACACACACACACCCCGCCGTCCATCACCCCGAAGAGGGGAAGAGAAAGAAAGAAAAACCAACTCCGGGCAGGCCTGCTCCAAGCCATCTAGAGGCAGACCCACTGACCTCCCTATTCTCGCCCGCCCGCTCCCAGTGTGACCCCAAGCCCAACCTGAGTCTGTTCTGAGTGTCTGAATGTGGGGGCGGGGGCGGGGGGGGGGCGGTGGAGTGAAATGCCACAAGATCAGCAGCAATAGCAGCTGCGCATTTCTCTCCTGGGAACCCCACTGCTTCGAAGCCTCCCGAATGGTGTTTGTTTAACCAAAAGCTCTCAAAGTAAACAAGCGGACCACTCCGAAGAAGGTGAAATATACAACCCTGACTAGAACGTTGAGTCCGGGTGCTGGCAGAAAAAAAGTACCTTTTAAAAACAATACAGCCCCCCACAGCAATAATAGCCCACCACAAAGAGCTTAAAAGGACCCGTCATTTTGTCATACAGGTATCAATTCATTGAAAGTATTCATTGCTATAAAGTTAGCTCCAAGCAGATCACTCCTCCCCCACGAACACAGCCCTCCCGCGGGGCGAGGGGGGCGGCGGTCAGGGTCTGAGGGGGCAAACTACGACTCCATTTCGGGGAAGTGGGCAGCAGCAGTCAAAGGAAGGTGCGTTCCCTGCCCGAGAGAGGAGGCTGGGAGCTCTGGGCCGCCAGCCCTGGCTTTGCCTCAGGCACCGAACTTTCCAATATCAAGATATTAACAGATGGTGGTGAGCACATGGAGGGCTGTTACTTACATAATCCAGCCACTCGGCCGGCCGCGCAGAGCCCGGCGAGGCGCCCGCCAGGCCGCGCGCGCGCCTTGAGAGGGGTGCTGTTGCGCCCCGAAATAACTTGCCTTGCTCCCACCCCCACTGGGCCCTTTGAGGGCTCGGATTTAGAAGGGTCCTGATCTCAAGCGAGGGGTGGGGAGGAAGCGCATGTTGATCTGATTGTGCTTTATTCTCGGTAGTGCAGAAGCTGGGGACCTAAGGGTCTAAGGGAAGCGGAGGGCACGCTTTCGGGGAGAACGGGACCCTCTCCCTCGGTAATTGGGGGTGCCAGGTAGTAGAATTTACCCCATGTACCCCCCTCCCACTTCGGCTCGAATTAGAATATCTGTCATTGTCACGCACACACAAAGGCAGGCTCTGGCCGCTGGCCGCTGGCCGCAGTGGGGTGGGTGAGGGCCTGAGTGGCCGGGGACGCCTCTGCACGCGGGGGCGCAGTGGGCAAAGTTACGCACAGCCCGGGGCACCGCGACGCTTCCGCGCGTCCGCAGGTTCTTCAGCGCCGGTTCGTTCGCGCGCGCGGGGCGTCCCTTTCGGCTGGGAGGCCGCCGAGTGCCGTCACGCCCGCAGCCACCGCCCGGGAGGCCAGTCCCTCCGGGTGGGCCGGGGTGCCTCCTCCGCACGCGCGCT